CACCTCAAAGAATGGCCTCTGCTGGGCTTGAGACAGCCACATGGTCATCACAACATGCTACAGATGAATCTGAACATTGGGGGCATCAAAGGAGACATGATCAAGCTTCTCTGATAAGAGGCAAGCAAAACACACTGCCCCCTTTGGGTTTCTCTCTACAGCAGGAACAGCACCAGCTGAGGACAGACACTGTTACCCGCCTTTTCTCCCAGGGTGTGTGTGTTATGATGACCTAGAAGAGGGGTAAGTCAATAGGTGGACTGTGGGTCAAATCTGGACCGCCAGACACTTTTGAATGTACCCCCAAATCTTTTTATTTAGTCATCATCATCATCATTGTTGTATTATTATGTTCTCTGGAGTCTATCCTTGATTATACCTTAACCAAGAAATTTGGATCTTGACAAAAAATAATTGACTACCCCTGATCTAGAAGCTGAGGAACCCAGGGAATTGTTTAGTGAGAGTTTGGAAGCGGAGAGAAAGCTGCCCTTCTTGACGCCTTCTCTCTCTCTCTCTCTCTCATCACTGGATGACCCTCCACTGTCTGCACACTTCACTTTACTCTGAACATTTCTCATCCGCTTCCCTTGGAAACAAGACTGAAGGAGGAACTGATCTTGCGACAGTTTGTTCTGCTCAGTCTATCAAAGTGAAGTAACACAAGGAGGTGTTGGCACCAGGGCTTCTATGCAATGAAATAGATACACACACACACACACACACAAAACAAGCAGCTGTACAACCAAACAGCTTATACTCAGGGTACTAAGAAGTCATCTTTATCCACTGAAATGCAAACATTCATTGTAACTCCCCTTCCAACATACACAATCCATGCTTTGTGGGAGGCTGACTTACCCCAGAATCTCTGGGGACAGGAATGGAGAGGCTACGCCACAGTGACTTCTTCTGGGCACACTCCCCTCTGAGACTCATCCACACAAAATCTCTCTCCCATATCATATCACATACCTCCCTCTCCTGTGAGACCCTTATTTTCAAAAAGAAAAGGAGGACTTGTGGCACCTTAGAGACTAACCAATTTATTTGAGCATAAGCTTTCGTCAGCTACAGCTGTAGCTCACAAAAGCTTATGCTCAAATAAATTGGTTAGTCTCTAAGGTGCCACAAGTCCTCCTTTTCTTTTTGCGAATACAGACTAACACGGCTGTTACTCTGAAACTTAGCATTTTCACTTTATCTTCACTGGAAAGAGTCCGGAGGTGACTTTCCACAGTCCAAATTTTCCTCACCCTCCCTGAGGAGAGTTGAAGGGTTTCTTCCCTTTACCAAGTCCCCTGAAAAGTAAAACTTTGGAGGGGGATAATTCCAGCAGAACCACCAGGGCCAGAGTCTGGGAGGCAACCTCAGTCAGCCCGATTTCTGCCCCCTTCCTGGCAGGAGGAGGAGAAGCAGCCTCTTAGGCTAGGCAAGATCCCCTCCATTGCAAAGCAGGACTATTCACTAGAGACCTGACAGCCTCACTCTGGATTAAACTAAAGAAACCTAAAAAAAATGACATGGATAAGAAAAATATTGATATAGAGAGGGGGAATATTTATTTATTGGATGGACTATTTCAAGCAGGTGGAAGACTACCAATATAGAAAGGATCATTCAGTTTCAGTGTAGAAACATCTTTAGCTGACAACCTAACAATAGCCCTCCCTCTATTATTGCAGAGCACAGCGCCAAACTGGTAGAGTTTGTAACTTTCTGCACTCCTGCTATTCCCCGAGGTGCCTCTAAGATGATCACTACCAGGGTCGAATAGTCTATAAAAAGGATGAAGGAAGCTGGGAAATTTCCACAGAGGTGCGGCCAGAAAAACAGAACCATCATTACAGATATCTCTGAGGCCAGCCTGCTGTGCAGGAGTCTCTGCTCTGAAGTTCAGGAGCTCCTCCGACTGATTTGTAGCAGCACTGCAACCATAGCTGGGAGATGAGAATTGGCTAGCATGCCTGAAAGTTCTCAGGTCTGCTCTGAGCAGTTTGCAAACTCCAGACTCTATCAGACAACGTGCTTTCACAGAAGAGCTTCAGAAATCATTAATTGGAGCTGTCAGAGTGAAGAACAAAGAGGAAAAGACTTGGGCGAGTGACATGCTCTAGCCTTGTGCTTAAGGGAACAGCGGAAGTCCTCCCAAACCAGCAATGGCATCTTGTCACAACACATCTATCTTTGTGTTAGAGACTGTCATCTATATAACAAGCTCAGCCCAACGGAAAAATGTTTTGCCCAACCCATGACCTGACCTCAACATACTTATTTTTCATAATATTTACTTTATGTAACTGGTTACAATACAAAACCTGCCCAGCCACTGAATGGCTGGGTTAATCTAAAACCTTATCCATGCTCCATCGCTAAACATGGCACAATCAGCTCTCCACCAGTTGCAGAGTACTCTCCTGTGATTTTAATGGGCAAAACCAAAAAACACACACACACACGCAAAATCTCGTAAGTCCCTTTAAAGGCAGGTTTTATCATTTCTCTTCCCCACCCCACACACAAATGTCTGGTGGTTGCTCTCTCCAACATCTGCGTTTCCTCTTTACTTCTCCACTAGGAACTGGGACGCAGTTTTTGCAGGTGTCCTCTTGCTTTACCTGCTCCCACCCTCAACTCCTGAGCAAGATGAGAGAAACAAAAGCAGATTAAACCCTCTAAGCACTTTAGCAGCTGCTGGCTCTACTACACAGGTTGAGCTTTCAGTTCTCTCTGTTTTGCCTCCTTCAGATAACTGTGCAACACACACACAGTCATCTTTAGCTACAAGCTCCACATCTCCCACAGAAACAGGGGCTAGCTTGTGGGAATCCCACTGTTTAATGCAGAACTGGTCTTGACGGAAGCCACAACAGCTTTACAGGAAGAGCTGGTTGTCCTTCTGATACGCATCACTGCTTGTTACTTGTATTACTCCAAGAAGAATTTGTGAAACTGGAAAAATGCAGGGTAGAAGGGCAACATTTCAAGTCAGGCCTCATACACATAGAGTGCCAGTTAAAAATGGCTTTTCTCTATATTCTATTCTTAAACCTTCTCCCACAAAATCCAAATGCTGCTGCGTAGGGTCTTTGTATACAAAACAGCAGCTACTATTCTGGTGCTGGGCTTATGTTTCTCTCAGAGATAAAACGGGTCTCATTCCTGTTTTCTGAAGGCAACACTCCTCTTCTGGGTACAGAATGAAAAACTCAAAAAACTAAGGAAAAGGGGCCGACTATGCACAAATGTGTAACAGAGTGACTAGGTATCATTAAAACCATATGTCCCCAATGCAAACCCTGTTTTTATTAAATATGGGTTCTGCATATAGCGTTTTAGAGCACACATTTTACAGCAACTTACATCTATACACTCAGGTGTGGCTTTAGACTACCAGAACCAAGACCTTCCGCTTTACCTTTCCTCATATTCAGTGCTGTGGTTAAAGGACAGTAAAAATTTCTGATGCAACTCTGGCACCACCTAGTGGAGACCATGGACCAAATAAAGATGATTTTGGATGTGCTGCTTACAAAGACAAAGACAATTTGATGGTATCTAAAATGAAAGTTTGTCACATTTTATTCAGAGCCCAGAGATCCACTTCTCCTCAAGTCACACTAGTTTATCACAGAGTGCATAACTGCTCCTGTAAGTCCTTTCACCTCTGCCTGAATAAGAGAAACTGTGAAGCCAGGTGAGCCAGAAAAATAGTTTGCATCACCCAATGGCAGATATTAAAGATTTGCACCAAGACAATGGCTGAATGTGTCATAGACCAGCCCCTCCTCCCCATTCCCTCTGCTTTGTAAAGGACCACCATATTTATTCATTACAGGCTCCTTCCTCCTGGTAACTCTCATACACCCGCAGGCTTGATGAGCCTGGAGATAAGTGGCATCACTGGGGACTCATATTGTTGAGAGATGGGAAGATCTTGTCTGCCAGTGCCAGGGCACAGTGACAAGAGCTTTACTGTGACATTTAAGCTTGAATTTGCATGCAAATGTCAATATTTATTAGTCACATCAAGATGCCCAGCAAATCACTCTTTTGGGTCGCCAAGTCTCTCTGGTTATACTTTTAAACAGAAGGAGGCCTGTGGAAACCAAATATACAGACTTTTTGTAAGCTATTCAATTCCATCTTCCCTGACTCCCCCATTTCACCCCTATTTACTGATCATTTTCATAGAAAGTTAGTTCTAACCAGGCGATGCATAAACACCTCCAAAAAATACTTAATATGCTGATTTAAGAATCAGCCAGGAAGTAGTAACTCCCTCACCTGCCTCCAGAGTTTGAGAATATCTTACATATTCAACCATAGAAGCTTAAGGTAACAGATGCCTTCTGCCCCACAGCAAAATGTGAGGACTGCAGTGTTTCAGTACTGAAGTGTTTCAGCAGTGCTCATGTTTCACTATCACTGTTTATGTGTCTCAACTTCAATCCTGTGCATTCATTACAAAAAGTCTCAACTGCTGAAATACAGTTCTTACTGTTTTTAGCCCCTTCCCTCCCCAAGTTCTCTGTTCTCTTATGGACACCCTTAAAGAAGGATGTCAGAGCCAGGACTTACACTTCAAAGTGAGATAGCAAGATAGAAAAGTGAAGGAAAGATAATGTATTCAAATGGCAAGTAGGAGAGAAAGTGGGGAAAGAGAGCTTGTGTAGACCTCTGTTGGAATAGCCTACAAAGGAATGCTAGTGTAAGACTGGGTTTTCAAGAGTTTTTTGTTTAATGAAAGCAGCAAGCTGTTTATGTCAGTATAACCAATCTGAAGTCTAAGGGGTACTAACTTACAGTGATATCAACTTTATGACCAAATATATTCACTTTCATTTTATGGTCAATTAACAGCAGTTGGCTTCCTATCAAGGTTGCGTACTGGGATGATACACAAGACCTTACACAGAGATAGAAAATTAGGTTAGAGTAGGTCTGAGCAGAGACACAGGTTCATGACTATTTCTCTCATCAGCATTCTACCCACTCACCAGGATTTCGGCTCCCCAAAATGCAGGTAATTGATGCTGTAGAGATCCATGTCCTCAGTATGCCATGCAAATGTTGTTTTCCACATGCCAAAATAAAGGTAGGGGGTGTTCACACCTTCTATGATAATCCCACACTCATGCTCCACCATGTCCAACAAGGTGTTCAGATTCCCAATATTCCATTCTTCTACATCCTACAAGACAAGAGGACTCCATTCAGCATAGTCAAAGTAGAAACATATCAGGAGCTGCTTTAGCACAACAGACTGATAATCCTTGATCTGCTCCAGTATCCTGTCTCCAAAATTTGATGAAGTAAGGTACGTCATAGGCACAATACTACACATCATAAAGAAAGGACGGCTAACTTCCTGAGCCCAAAGAGGGATCAGTGCATGCTCTGAAACATGAGTGATAGACCTTGCAATTTTTTTATCTTGGTTAATATGAAATTAGATGCTACTCTTTCATATAAATAGATGAATCTTTTTTTAAAAATACATACATTTTACACAGTGCAGTTTATGCCCTACATCTCCTCCCACCGAAGTGATTACAAAAGCTACAAGATACACAAAAAGGTTAAAAGGCTCACATCCAAAATTTTCTCTCTTTAAAGCCTAAAATTTGGATATAAATTTATTCTAGCATCTTGTGTTTTCCAGGCAGGCTTCTGTGTCTGCACTAATTCAATCCCTTTAAGTTCCAATCACTCCAATGCATTTGCTTTTTTTAAATAAATGTTCACCATACACTAAGGAAAGATTTTGCTACTTTTTTGGTAAGGCTTCAAGATAGTGTTTAATTAGAAGCTGCATTATCTCCAGAGTAGGCATGTGTGTTCTGTGGGGGCTCCACCACTTGGAAACTGACTCAATCAGAAAAATAAAATTAAGTAACAGTAAAGTAAATTTACATGCTCTTTTCAAATAACTTTCAAGTGAAGGATCCACTTTGGGGACACTGATCAAGTGCACTGGACTGTATAGTGCCTATACCAGTAGATGGCTCTAAAGCAGCAGCAGTCCTTCACTGAACAGACTGTTAGATGCAATGCTTTCAAAAGTGCCCTTAATTAATGAGAATACATGCAAAGCCAAAGTAAATTACAGTGCCCAACCTCAAATGCTGGCATAGAGATGTCAGAAAGACAAAATTGGGATGTGGAATTTTTCTATTTTCAAGATTATAAGAGAATTAACAGTGGGGAGAAAAAGGTTTAACAGTTCCTGTTAGTTGGTTTGCTCCATCGCAGTAAAGACTGGTAAGACCACAGATGAGCACAAGCTGGTAGCGTAAAGGTTGACTGAGTATAGAATTCCCAAAAGGAAGCTAGCAGTACCCTTTCTCTCCCCCTGCCCGAGTGCCCCACATGTATTCAAAATTGTTCTTGAAATACCTGCTGCAGCTTGCTTGCAGCACCTATAGGATTAGTAGAGATTCAAGTTGCATCCACACTATTGCTTTTGAAAAGAAATTTAAGTTAACATAGTTTAAAAGGCTAACTGTTAAATTAAACCTTTTTCACAACCACGTTAAAGGTAGCTCTACTGTTATGCCAAGGACCAATTCAAATGCACTTTGCAATACATGGAAACATGGAACACGTTAAAGGTAAGTGTCCCTTGATTCCACTTTTACATCAACCTGCACAGCACCACAGAAAGGATCCCAGTAAAAAGCATGAAAGGAAGTAGCACAACAGGTGTAACGTAACTACATATTTGAGTATTCCAATACCTCAGTGATGGGAGCAACATAAATACCGTGACAAAGTTCCTCCTCTACCTTGGTGGATCTTGCGCTTATTGGTGGATTTGCTCGCCTTGGAGCTTCATGGCAGCCCTCAGTTTGGACGTTTTTCTGAACCCACAATCCAGTTTGACTCCTCCTGTGTCTGACCAGGAGTTGGGAGGTTTGGGGGGAACCCGGGCCCGCCCTCTACTCTGGGTTCCAGCCCAGGGCCCTGTGGAATGCAGCTGTCGAGTGCCTCCTGGAACAGCTGTGTGACAGCTACAACTCCCTGGGCTACTTCCCCATGGCCTCCTCCCAAAACCTTCTTTATCCTCACCATAGGACCTTCCTCCTGGTGTCTGATAATGCTTGTACGCCTCAGTCCTCCAACAATCCACGTTCTCACTCTCAGCTCCTAGTGCCCCTTGCTCCCAGCTCCTCACACACGCACCACAAATTGAAGTAAGCTCCTTTTTAAACCCAGGTGCCCTGATTAGCCTGCCTTAATTGATTCTAGCAGCTTCTTGATTGGCTGCAGGTGTTCTAATCAGCCTGTCTTAATGGTCTCCAGAAGGTTCCTGATTGTTCTGGAACCTTCCCTGTTACCTTACCCAGGGAAAGGGGACCTACTTAACCTGGGGCTAATATATCTGCCTTCTATTACTCTCCTGTAGCCATCTGGCCTAACCCTGTCACAATACTTAGACAAAGCCAGTTACCAAGAGCATGCGCATACATTTAAATGCCTGGTAAACCAATTACAAGTTATCTGTTTATTTGAAGTAAATAATCATTACTTATAAGGTTCAAATACGGGTGCAAAAATCAATTTTGAAAAGTCTTTAAAAAAAAATCAGCTTTATATTTGGCCCAGGTCATCATCACTGGAAAATGCCACAGGCGTGTAAGAGATACTAATATTAATGTATCTAAGTCAACAAACATTTTGAGTAACCACTGCTGTGGAAGGCCTCAATAATGTATATTTATTTCAAGTCAGGTGGGGGGGGGGGAGATGGATTTTTCTTTATACAGTCAAGAAGCTCAAGTGTAAAACGTTTGTTCCCAATGTTTGCTCTGTTGTGTACACAGAAGCACTACATGTTTGACAGTGTGATCTCATTTTAACTGTCTAAATATTACAACCAGACAGTCAACACTCCAGAGATACAGTTTTCAGCTCAAAAGGAAATAAGCAAGAGGGGACCATTGTATATTTCTTCTCTTCAAAGAGAACCTTATTCTGATTTTTAGACGTTCTCTAGAACCATTATCTAGTTACTTTCCCCAGTGAACACACAAAAGTAGTACACTCGCAACCAATAAAAACAGTGTCCACTCCTCTGAAAAGAGATATTACAGTTACCTAAATAACCCCTGTAGTTCCAACTGGATATTGGAGTCTGCACATTGGGGTCTAGCCCGTGAAACGTGTTCACTCTTTATCCCAGCTCAGTATAGGCAGGTGTACAGGACAACTATACCCAAAATGAAGAATTAGAAATCCAAATAAAATTTCCTACTCATCCATGAAGCTAAAATGGTTTATATACCAACATCCAGCATGGGATTTTCAAAAGCTTTCAGCATTGGTTTAACTCTGCTTCCACTGATGTTTTCACCATTGACTTCAACAGGAGCAGAGTTAGACCAACGCAGAGTTCTTCTGAAAATCCCACCTCAGTGTACAAAAAAATATAGATATTTAATAACTTAAATATTTTATAGATTTGTGTCTGGTTTAGATGTTATTTTAAAATATTTTATATAAATCTTCATTTACATATTTAAAGAGAAAAAATTAGTAACCCTTTATTAAGTGTGGCAGATTGAATTACAGTTTTAGGTAGTTTACAAATAGGTGAAAAATCTGTAAAAATCAGATATTAGGGATAGAAAAGACCCTTCACTGGTCAAATCCAGCTTTATACTTAATATAATGTAGCACCTGTTTATTTGCCATGATACTTAGATTCTAAAATATTAGCTTATAATCAAAGCTATCCAGATTAACCAAACATTTTAGATGTATTAAAATGAGATTTATCAGTTTATATTCCATTACTTTGTCTACCCAAAAATGAGTGTTATTTTCAGTTCAAAGGTTGTATTTAAAGATAGTGAAGATAATTTTTTATTATGAGCACAAGACCTGAAGTATTGTGTTTCCGGATCACCACAGCACTTCAGCAGAAAGCTATTTCACCCTTTGGCTGCTTTTCCAAAGGAAAAAAACCCACCCGAAAAGGGAAGGTGGCAGGTGTGCTTGCTTTTCCTAGAGTCCATCTGGTTGGAGATTCCATTCTAACGGGGTGGCCATTTTCTTGAATTGCGTTGCGGATGAAGTATTATTGCTATTTATTCAGTAGGCACTAAATGTTATGGTCCATCTAACAAGCAGCTGAAAAGTATGTACATAGCACTTACTGCATCATATAGCGAGCCACTGATATCTGCCCCATAAATTGGTGAGACGAACGTCAGATTCTTCCAGTATTTACGTTCCAGGTCTTCAAAATCTTGGTGACGAGGAGTACAGTACCTGACCAGCAAAGGGAAAAGCTAAGAGTTTAGGAAAAGTCACAGACCTTAGAAATTTATGTTCAGTAGAGACTACATAAACGAATAAGCTGCTCAGCTTTGAGGTTAGCATAGGAATAGCTGGAAGCTATGGTTTGGGCAGCAGACTCTCCATAGCAGTAGGTAGTGGAGAGGAAAGGTGCCGTGGTGATATAATCAGTCCCAGAGTGAACTGCTATACCAACTTATAACCAGCATACAGAAAAGAGCTTGTGGAGCCATTAAAATACTATCTCAGACTAGACATGCCTTACAACCAGAATAGAGGCCTGGGTTCCGAAGAGGACATTTAGATGTTAAGCAAGTACAGTTATGGTCTTCTATACTTTGAGCTACTCAGCAGACCCAGAGAAACCTATATCAGGACACCTAGTTAATCACTCCATTCTGCCTACTGTAACTGACTGGCTGCAACTAGTGTTCCCTCTAATTTTTCCCACCCATGCGCGGAATGAATTTTGTCATGTGCACTTATGTGGAGGTGAGGTGTGTGACACATCACCTCCACATTGGTGCACATAACAAAATTAATGTGGCAGGGTGGAGGCAAGGGGTTTGGAGTGTAGGAGGGGGCTCAGGACTGGGGCAGACGGCTCCGGCTGGGGGTGCAGGCTCTGGGGTGGGACCAGTGATGAGGGATTTGGGGTGCAGTGGGGCTCCCTAGGGCTACAGTGGGGAGAGAGGTTGCCCAGCTCTCTCTTCCTGCAGCAGCACCTGAGCTGGGGGAGGAGAGGCACCTCTCCCACAGATGCAGCAGGTTTGGGACCAGGCTGGGTCAGGCACCTGTCCCCCAGCTGTGGCAGGTTCAGGCTGGGCTGGGTCAGGGCCAGGGAAGGGGCACCTGTCCCCCAGCTGCATCAGGTCCGGGGATGGGCTGGGGGAAGGGCACCGTGGCAGGGCCAGGGAGAGGTCTCTCTCCCCGCCGCAGCCCTGAGCGCCTGCGCAGCACTTAATAGGCAGCTGCGTGGCCGTGCACCTTAGATGGAACTTAGGCTGCAACTGGTTTATTGGTTCTAGAGTGGGAGTGTACTTTGTCTTATTTCAGAGTAGCAGCCATGTTAGTCTGTATCCGTAAAAAGAAAAGGAGGACTTGTGGCACCTTAGAGACTAACAAATTTATTAGAGCATAAGCTTTGTCTTAGTTCCCTCTCTGCTTTTTTTACAATACTGCTAATGCATTTTTATAGCAGCTTCTATCCGCTGATCTCAGAGCACATTGTTAAACATCAGTGAATTAAGCCTTACGATGCTCCTGGAAGATACATAACAGTGGTCGCCAAATCGTGGAGCATGCCCCGAAGCAACATTTCGAGGGGCACAGTAGGGCCCAGACCAGCCCCCACTGGGGGCAGGCAGAGCGTGCGACCCAGCCCTGCTCTGCCCAAAACTCAGCTCTGGCCCCAGCCCCAGCTGAGGCCCCAACTTCAGCTCCTGGTCCTGACCTGGCCCCCCAATGCAGCCCTGCTCCCGGCCCCCACAAGGGGCGGGGAGGGAGCACCACCCAGATCCACTCCGGCTCCAACCTCAGCCTCACCCATAGCCAAGGCCCCATTCCTTGGCCCTCCCTCCGTAGCCTGGCCCACCCCCAGCCCCACTCCCAGCCACAGTCCCCAGACAGATTACATTATGGGTAAGGGGGGTGCAACATAAAAAAGTTTGGGGACCACCGATATAGAAGTATTATCCCCATTTCAGAATGGAGAAAACTGTGACAGACAGAGGTGAAGTGAATTGCCCATGATCACACAGTAAGTCAATGAGAAAGCTAGGAACAGAACCCAGTTCTTTTTGCTCCTAATCCTGTAGCTTAAACAGAACTGCCTCCTCCTCTTTTACACTAGTCATTTTCCAATGCTAATGTTTCTGAAGAAATTTTTTTAAATGGACTAAACTAAAAAAAAAAAAAAAAAGACATGCTCAGGTTATTCAATATGCATGTTGCTTTTAATTCTTAGATACATAAAACTTACTGCCTATGAACTCTGTGTACATAAGCACCTCTCATACATTGAAAAAATATATATTCACAACACATGTGAAGTATGGAAATATCAGTTTCCTATCTGTAAAATGGAGATAAGGCATAGAGGTTAAGTAATTTGCCAAAAGGAGCCTGTTAGCAGTGGGGAATTGAACCAAATCAAGGATACAAGTTACACATACATTTTTCTACTAGGTATATTTTTATGTTGATCCTACTGTTATCAAAGTTCCCAGAACCAAAGAACAAGATACTCCACAGCTCTCGATGTGCAAATTTAGAAGGAGGACATAGCTGGTGAGTTGGGTGAGATTAAGTGATTGCCACACAGTGTCTTGAAACACATACTTAGAGAGGCACTCATGCCACAAACACTAGCATACACACTTCCAAGGCCATCAGAATTGTATCTAGGCACTAAAACACATGTGGCACATTCTCCATGTGGCTACCAGTTTGGCAAGCCACAGTGCCAAGATAAATGGCTCCAGAGCCTCAGAAGCAATAATCCTTCTATGGATCCCATACCCATTTTCTCAGTGAGATCTATATCCATTGAGAAGACAGCCATCAAACAGGGCCTTCCGACACTGACTTGGCAGAACATACAAGGATGCTCCAGCATAACCTCCTCCAATTATGAATCTGAAAAACTACAAGTACAAGCCATTCCCACCAGAATGTTTACAATTTAACAAGGTTGGCTGCAATTCCTTCCCAGCTTGTAAAGAAGAAAGGCTTTCCATTTGCCCCTCCCAATCCATAATGCCACACCAGATTGTCACTCATAACAAATACATACTTCTCACTGTTGGCCAGACGCCGGTATTCTCCCACCGTCATGGGTTTCTTCTGTATATTATACTGGGTGAATAACCCTGACTGCCCAGTCACCACCTGCTGGATAGGCGCTGGGATGACCATATCATCGATGTCATCATAAGTCTTTCGGGGCTTCCATTCCTTGGGAGGAATCACCTGAAAGAGGAGGAAAGAAAAACAAAAGTCACATCTATGCCATGCAGACACTTAACTTCTGCTAAGACAAATGTTAGTGTAGCCATATTTCACACTGCTGCAGTCCTCCAGCTACTATAGACCAGCCACATGCATTTTAACCATCATGTCATCTAACCCTGCTCAGAGCAGGCCTAGGTGACAGTGGTTAAAACGCTGGCAGCCCGTCTACAACAAGCCCTCCCACTGATGGAGCTGCACCAGACAAAGTTCAATGGTGAGAAATATTTTTTGAAGTTAGTTTAGACTTCCTCTGTACATCAAAATAGTTTATATCCTTCTTTCCTGGAAGATGGCATTTTCTTCTCTCCTGCCACCCAAAGAAATTGTAATAAATCCACTATCAGCCCTATTACAAGACAGTACCCACACCTACTGATTTCAGAGCCTTTTAGAGATTTCTAGTGACATTATCTTCTCCCTGGGGGAAAAACAATTAAAAATGGGGAGATTCACAAGACTGACATTGTTTGGTATAGCTCAGTTAGTAGTTTGCTTCTTTTCTGATTATAAGTATGTAAGTTCCACATGAGGACTCTGATTTTACCCCAAAATGGAAAATAGGAGATAAAACCTGGTGAAAATCACAAGGAATTTCCCCATTTAGCAGTATGTTGTGGAATACCTCAGCGTAGGACCCAATCCAACTCAAGACTCCCACTGCCTTCACTAGGAGTTAGAACAGGCCCATACCGCGGAACTTCTTTTCCATTGGATACCTGCAATTCCACTCTATTTTTAATTTGCTTCATGGAATGATTTTGGGACCAATAGTAATGTGCAGAAGGCTAGCAAACCCTGCTGAGATTGTCACACTAAAGTCTACAGATTATTAAACCCTTCTGAGCTTTCAAGGGGCTCTCAAGCTCTCCCTACACTAAACAGGAGCAGAATTAGCCTGATGATTTTTATACATTATTCTTGCTAGAGAAATGCTAAAGTACTTTCCCTGGAACAGTAGATCAGGACTGGGTTAGAAAGACCGTTTTAGAATGGGTTCTAAGAGCACTCCCACATAGGGTTGCCAACTCTCCATGATTGTTCTGGCGTTTCCAGGAATTAAAGATTAATCTTGAATTAAAGAAGTCATGTGATAAAACCTCCAGGAATACATCCAACCAAAATTGGCCACCCTAGTTCCACACAAGAGTCAGGAGACCTGATGAACAGAGAATGGACACAAACTATGTTTTGAACATGTTAGGAAAGCTGGTTACAATATTACTATCCCAATCCTGGTTAGAAAGAAATTCTGTCACAAAGCACAGACAGGAGCATAACCATTTTTAAACCTCTAAACCATGCTAAAACCTTGGGTAGCACACACAATTCAAGAACACTATTAAGCCACAGTTAGGTTCCACCATCAGTGAAACAAAATTTTTATCCATGTCTGGGAAACCCACTTACAACACTGTGAATTTCAGCATCTAGGCAGGACTTCAACTCATCTGTCCTACTGACAAGACATTGCTACAAGAAGAGGCTGATAGATTGGGACACAAAGGGAGTAAGCAAACTTCAAACCTCTTCAAACTCAGGCAATGTGGCAGGATAGTCATGTAAAATAGATGGGGAAAAAAACAAAAAACAAACTACCACACATGAGAAGAACGGTGTTCTAGGCCTTTCTGCCCATCTGGAAAATGAAGATAATATTCAGCTTCTTCACAGGGGCATTGAGAAGCTTAATTAGGTAGCTAGTGTTTATAAAGTGCTTGGAAAACAAAGCTCTAAGTACTCAGTATGACTATTTCAAACCAACTGCCTTTACTCCAGTGCAATATTTCTTGTTACTTTGCTTAATAAAAGGCCATAAGTAGACACTACAGCTAACACCTAGCTGAAGTAAATAGAGGGGCACACATTTAGAGTTCATATGCTTATTAGAGGCCGTTAGCTGCACAGCTGGATTGAAAAGGAATCCTTTCTATTTTAAGCAATGAAAACCATTAGAAGAGGCTTATCATAAAGAAAAGCAAAATTTGATGAAAAGACAGCGGTCCTGTCCATATTATGGCTGTAGCCCTACCAGAAACATCCATATCTAAATAGTTTTTGCCAGCATAGTTTCCCTGGCTGGCATAGATGGGGATTTTTGTCTGAGAAAAGCAGTGTTATAAAACTACACTAGATGCCACCTGGGGGTCCGCTGTGCTGTAAAGCACAGGTCTTCCCCACCCCCGCAAAAAAAGTATGTCCACACTGGTCAGGGAAATCTGCTGGGGAAACTCCTAGGTAGAGATAATAGACTTAGACTCAGCCACAAAGATCTAGGAAGGGAAAAGGCAAGACAAAAATACAAAGATGATGGACAGAGTGCTCGTTTTAAGAGGTGAGCCACTAAAGATATAAGCACTGGCTCTCCTTAAGGATAGATGTCCCACGGTTTCCTGGTTCTTTCAGGCAAATGCTGAGGGTGTGAAAAGACGCTGCAGAGCAGTGCAGAGTTTGGAAGGTGAAAGTGTCAGTTTAAACAGAATAATTCTAGGCCTAAATGCTGAGGAGGTTCCCTTGTGCATGGAAAGTGCATGCTGAAGAACAACAAGGAAACTTATTTCAAACTTGAAGAATAAAACATGAATTTAAACAAAAAAAGAGATTAATTATGATCAATAGATATGGAAGGTTAGATTTGATTGTCAGGGAAATGGGTTCTGCAGAGTAAGGTGGGCTTTTTTGCCGATTAGAAGGCCCTGTCTGGATAAAGTTGTCAAGGCACAAAACCAATATTCCGCAAAGCTGAGGACATAGTACTGTCGGAAAAGCTACCTCTTTCCGAGATTTGAGTTCACCAACAGCTTTTAGACTAGTTACAATAATCTACTCCAGAGGACTCAGAGAGAATTAAATCATTAGTATGCTTGAGTGAGCTAGGAAACACTTCATGGAGAGCTTTTTATCAATACCAGGCTCCATTTTGCAAGTGTAATAAAAGCAGTAATTGACCTAGGTTTTAACGAGGAGCTATTCGCTCATGCCTAACAGCAACGTTTCTATGTGTGTGCTCTGTTTTGTTCCATTACATGCCAAGTGTATACCTGCCTTGTTAGGACAAATTAGTCAATCTGTGATGCCACAAGATATGCTCACAAAAGGATTCATCCTCGTTAATTTGCCCTAATTTTCTCAAACATTTGTGTTTATAGTATTTAAACTTAGAAATCAGATATGACCATCTCACAATGGCCCATTACTTAGTTTCATTTTGTTTTCAACTCTGAGACATTAGACAGAAATTGGAATAGATTTTTTTTTAAACTAGGAATGGTTTTATTTTTATAATCAACTGAGTGTCTTTCACAAAATTTACCCCATTTTCCTTTTCCCCTAAAGGAGGACAAACTGAGGACATCTACTTCTCTGACTAATCACCAGCCATGTTTATTCAATAAATTTATTACAAGGATTAACACTAAATGTTATACAAGGATTATTTGATCATTAAAAATAAAAATAAATTTTAAAAACACTGCAAAATCAGAAATCTTTTCTGACTGAATTTCCAGGGTTTTAGCTCATACACGCCTGCCAGCTTGACATCAGCAAACAGAGACATTTGGGAAGAAAAATAGGGATACCTTTGAACTACACTGAACTAAGGGTGCTTTTTAAAGGGCAGGGATAGTTTGCACATATGCTACATGGGAATGTAGCATAGTAATAATTTACACACACCAGGCACACACCAAAAAGGCACTTTTCAAACTATTTCAAAGCACTTCACAATAAACCCACTCATCTCCCTATCAGGGGGAATACTGACTACTTCTTACAGATGGACAAACAGGCTCAAAGAACATAAGAACGGCCATAGTGGGTCAGACCAAAGGTCCATCTAGCCCAGTACACGGTCTTCCAACAGTGGCCAATGTCAGGTGCCCCAGAGGGAATGAACAGAACAGGGAATCATCAAGTGACCCATCCCAGCTTCTGGCACACAGAGGCTAGGGACATCATCCCTGCCCATCCTGGCTAATAGCCATTGATGGACTATCCTCCATGAACTAACCTTGTTCTTTTTTGAACCCTGTTATAGTCTTGGCCTTCACACATCCTCTGGCAAGGAGTTCCACAGGTTGACTGTGCACTGTGTGAAAAAATACTTCCTTTTGTTTGTTTTAAAAAAAATTACAGGTCTGATTTTCAAAGATGCCTAAGGGAATGAGGTGCACAACTCTATTTGGATTTGGGCATTAACTGCCTTTGGCATTTTAAAAGCTGCATCCTATGTAAATTGCTTGAGGTCAGAGCATGTCCACAGCAGAACCAGAAGCAAAACTCAGAGTTCTAACTCCCAGCACACATTCTAACTATAGGTCATGCTGCTTCAGTGTTAAAGGGCACGTGCTATTAGATAGTCTTTCAGACATTACGTTAACACAAGTCAGTGTCTAGCTCTCCAGACAGAAATGAAAGATCACCTATCATGTTTGAAAAATAGGGAATAATCCCAATGGTTTGGCCATTATGCCTCGTCATTAACAAAAATGTTCTAGTTCCAAACAACATACGAACTACAGCCAGGCACACACAGGCTGCTAGTTTTGCCTGGATTATCCATGCACGTTACATGTAGACGACTTCAATAACACTCAAAAAAAGAGCAACGCTAAATAAGAGAAAATTATTTCTTACTAGTACTGTTTTTTAGACACCTGTCCCCAGATGCCTTTCTTGCAACATAATGGGTACTTCTCAACTGAGATACTGTATCCAGTACAACTATTCATAAGCCCAATGCTGACATTTCCACCTATGAGGTTTTCAATTTCTCCAAATCGAATCCAGTAGGTCAAGATCAAGCTCACCTTGGCAAGCCCTGCCCTATGAGCTCCCTGCGATTCGATGTAGGCAACATATTTCCCAAAGTCCCGAAACTCCTCTAAGGTGGGACGGAAGGTCATGATCTTACAGCCAGGGTTCTGTGGACTTGGGTTTTCAGACCCCATGTTTTCAGTGAGTTTTCAGCACCTGAAAAATGAAAAGGCAAAGGGGTGGGGAAGTGACAGAGAGAGAGAAAGCAGACAAGTTAAAAGGGAAAAAACATTCCTTTCTTCACATTCTCTTGCACAAATCTCAAGATAAACATATGCAAGTTTCTCCATTTTCCCCATTGATCAAACATTTCAGAGCCCCATTGGAAAGGAGAGGAGGAGCATTTTTCCAGAAACAATTTTAACACTATATTTTTATAATCAGTGCCCATGTACACTATGCAGAACCACAACTGTAAACAAAAATTGTAAGCAAGGTCTGAACACGCTTTTCCCTGACATTTAGTGGTGAGATGGGGGAGAGAGAAAGATTTCATGGCCAGACTCTATTTACATGAACACACCTACTATATGCTTAGGTATCCAGCAGACAGAGCTGTGTTGCCCAAGTGATCAATTTTGGCTGGTGTTGGGTTACAAATCACTTTAGTAGTGAATGCAGAGGTAACGAAATGTTGTTATCCTTACTGTAAGAGTAAAGGCCAGCAGGATTGTACTAAGGCTCTGTCTACCCAAACACTTTTGTCAGTAAAACTTTTGATGGTCCAGGTGTGAAACCACCCCCCCCCCCCCGGCTAACGTAAGTTTCACCCACAAAAGTGCTGGTGTGGACAGCGCTAGGTCAGCGGGAGCGGCTCTCCTCCCAACATGGCTAACGCTGCTCCTTGGGGGGTGGTTTAGTTATGCCGACAGGAGAGAGCTCTTTCACTGGCAAAGAGCAGCTACATGGGAGACCTTACAGTGGCACAGCTGTGCTGCTGAAACGTCCGTAGTATAGACATAGCTTAAGTCTCTGTCCTGATCGAGGGGGTCACCTTCAACTGAACTAAACTCGCTGACATGGGGTTCAGATGCCAAATCACAGTGGAGGGAGAGAGGGTGGGGACAGGTGTTTCCGCCTGGCGGTGCGGGCTCCTCCTCAGAGTCAGGCACCATTTGACCCGCTCCTCTCCACTGTTTAAAAACAGAGCTGATTAGGCTCCATCGAGTCTCTGTTGTTGTGTTAAGAGATCACTATCAGTGATTTCAGCTCTAATCAGATCTAAGGGATGAGCCACAGGCCATATCTACACTAGCATGCTTACAGCAGCACAGCTGTACCGATGCAGATATGCCACTGTAAGATTGCTCGTGTAGCCACTCTATGCCAACGGGAGAGAGGTCTCCCGTAGACAAAATTAAACCACCTCCAATGAGCAACAGCAGCTATGTCAGTGGGAGAGCATCTCCCACCGACACAGCAATGTTCACATCGGTGCTTCTGATGGTGTAACTTATGAGACTCAGAGGGGTGTTTTCTCACCCCATTGAGCAACGTAAGTTATACTGACAAAAGTGCTAGCACAGACGTACCTTAGACCCGCTGCAGGACAGCGTTTCTGTGGAAGAGACTGCTCAGCCTGCACTAGCAGGGAGGTTCCCTCACTAACTGCTAAAATCACAGAGCTGGACGGAACCTCAACAGACCAACTCGCAGAGGTCACAGTAAAGAGGCAGGTGGCAGCGGAAGGTGACAGCACAGGGCCATCGGTGGCGAAGCAGATGATGAAACGGTGAAGTGAATGGTGGCACGACAAACAAAAGCATGCAGCAACACAGAGTGGACGGTGGTAACGGTGAGCAGTTGTAGCACCGGCAGCAACTAAGGCACTGCTTGACGTCCCTCTCCCCACCTCCCCATGGCAGGTGAACTCACACAAATGCAATTCTGAACTCTGGGTCTCCGGTGACCAAGGACAGCCGCTGTAAATGGGGTGGGGTGGAGGGAGCGGCATGTTAAAAGGGACATTTGTTTGTTGGACTTTCACACCGCAAGGTGAGAAACGGAGGCAAAGGCCACTGGCCAATGTACTCTGAGCAGGAGTTTTGCTCGTGGTCGGGTGTGTGCGAATCATGATGTTTTCCCAAATTAATGCCAGGCTCCTTTCCCTGTTTATTAGAAGTTTTCTCGGCTATACTCAGACTCGGTGCTTGCGAGTGAGGATGTATTGCCTCTTAGAGGCACCCGCGGTGGTGTTTAATTTTCCCAGATTACTGGGTGGGGCTCAAGCCGGTTCTGTGCTGTATTGTTAAGAGGGACCTTTGGACTTTGAACCCGGCCCTTGTTGCTGCCGATTCCACATGGCAGAAGGGTTACACTAGATTTTAGATGTTTTGTTCCAACATACATACTCTAATGTGGATTAAAACAGCACAGTCCTATTTTTCATTTTAATACAGTTTGTTTCCTTTGCGGATGCTTATGACACAATCACATTCCACTCTTTTCAGTACTGGTGTAGTGTACAGACCTGGTGTACAGTTTTTGTACTAATATAACTATTGGCTAGGGTGTGATTTTTTTCTACGTGTATAGTTATACTGGAACAATCCCATTTGTGGTTACAGTTGTACCAGTGTAGAGGTGCCCTGGATGTAGACGAGCTGGACCAGGCAAGACTAGAATAATGCTGGTCAGAAAGGAGAAACACTTCAGAGACCTAGATAAGATATAGTCTTCACGCTCCATTAAAGGCACGCACTCCCAATTAGTGAAAGTGGTGAAAACCTCAAGGTTCTGTTTGATTCCTCGCTAAATCTGTTGACCAAGTAGCATCAATTTCTTTCTTTTGCCTCTAGCTTGCCAGAAAACTTTGTTCCTTCCTCATGGATCAGGACCGAGCCACAGTAATCCATGCATGTCACCAGCTGTAATTCATACTCCTGGAGGAATTCTGCACCACTACACAATGCAGAATTTGCACAGAATTAATGTTGTGTGCTAGGGTAACCACCCATCCCAAATTGGGCAGGACAGGCCTGAAATGCAGAGTTCAAGTCCCAGTCTTAATGACTCTGGTACAGGAACTGTCCCGGATTCCGTGGCGCTGCTCCGTGCCTGTCCAATGCTCAGGGGCAGTGTCAGCCTCTTCCTTGGGGTGGGCCTTAGTCCCCACTTGCCACGAGGCCCCACTCCTGGCCAGGCCAGAAGCTAGAGCTGGAAAGTAGTAAGAGCCGCTGCAGGGAGCCCCAGATCTTCCACCTGCCTTGGGCCACATGCCCTGGGGAGTGGGGACACAGGCCAGGAATTGCTCTCAAGCGCTCTGGCCCCCCATCCAGGGCAGGTGGAGTGGCCTGGGCTCCCTGGAGTCCAGCTCTGGCTTCTGACCTTGCCAGGGGGTGGGGCCTTAAGGGGAAGAGGAGAGGCTGGGAGCGTGGCTCCTGCATGTGCCCTGCTTTTGCCTTTTGAGAAGGTGGTCACCCTATTCTGCACAGAATTTCATTTTTTCCTGGCAGAATTGGCATTGCAGAGCTCCTGGCTGACACTAGGGGCCACTGGAGGCAGCAAAACCTGGCTCCCCAGCTTGCAAATAGAGGACACTGCTGGTGGGAGGGGAAGGGGTTCCCAGAAGCTGCAGTTCCCAGCACACCCTGAAGGAAGGAGGCGGCATGCAGTGAGCAGAGCATCCAGTCCAGTGGGAATGGAGGCTCTGTGCCTTGTCAGCCCTGCACAGTCCAACGCTGAATTCACCACAGGAAACTCCATACAAACCCAGTATGACCAGCATCGGGCTGTTTCACCCTCTGGATCCCTCTGGGGGGAATGGGGTGGTGACAGGTGTCTAGCTCCACGCTGGGCTCGGGGGGTAGGGGGCCCCAGAACCCCTCTCCAGCACCCCCGCAACTGTACACAAACCCCTCCAGCTCTCCCTCACCCCAGCAGTGTCCTCTATTTGGGTACCTCTATATAGTAACCCTACAGTGGCAGGATGAAAAAAAAATTGACCAAAAGACCAGAGGGGCAGAGTTTTCCCCCCAAGATGTGCCCAACTGGCACGTGACACACCAGACTCAGTCATGCAACAAAAGCATAACAGAAAAAAGGAACTGCGTTGTCACAGTAGTTTCTTTAACTCTATACTCTTGGGGGAATCTTTGTTGTCGTCTGTATTGTTAGACATACTTGCTGACAGGTATTTTGAAGTTACTAAAATGATTGATTTCAGAGTAACAGCCGTGTTAGTCTGTATTCGCAAAAAGAAAAGGAGTACTTGTGGCATCTTAGAGACTAACCAATTTATTTGAGCATGAGCTTTCGTGAGCTACAGCTCACTGAAGTGAGCTGTAGCTCACGAAAGCTCATGCTCAAATAAATTGGTTAGTCTCTAAGGTGCCACAAGTACTCCTTTTCTTTTTAAAATGATTGAAACTGGCATGATTATATTGTGTTATTTTGACAAATAAAATACACAGAATTTTAAAATATTGAGCACAGAATTTTTAATTTTTTGGCTCAGAATTCCCCCAGGAGTAAATTCATTGTATCTGATGTGAAATGAGAAGACTATGCACAGGTTCCAGCTGGTACAGAATGTGGCTACCCATCTTCTCCCTGCCATGATCACATCAGGTCTGTGTTCACTTCCCTCCACTGGCTCTCAGTCAGCTTCTTATGCTATTTTAAGGCCTTGATCCTAGTTTTTAAAGCAATTAATGTGTCAATCTACAGCAAAGACCAAATGTCAATCTATGAACCCCTCCTCTGCAGCTATGCACACCACAAAGTCCAGGATGATGCAAGTAAGAGATGGGAACAAAGCACTTTCTGTCAAGGAGATCTAGCTATGAACAATTACCCAGACGAGATCACACAAATCCAAGGCCTGACCATCTTTTGGGAATTTAGCAAAGCCAGCACATGTGCGCCTCCCCCCCAGAAAGCCTTTCCACTGTAAGTGACACTCACAATCCAAATGCCCCTTTTATTCCAGAACCCCCCCAAACCTCACCCCACCTAATCAAAAAAAAAAAAAAAAAAGGGCAAGCAGAACTGACACCATAAAGGGAGGAATGTCAAACTCTCTGAAGTCCACCAGGGACTGTGTTATTGATTTTATATGGAAGGCTCTCAGATAGTCAGTGATACGCAGCAATGTCTAAGATAGATAATGCCAGTATAGTTTATTCCCTTATGGGAATGAACTATACCAGAATAAG